TTGGGAGGCTGAGGCAGGAGAATTGCTTGAACCCAGGAGTCATGGGTTGCAGTGAGCCAAGATCGTGCCACTGCACTCCAGCCTGGCAATAGAGCGACACTACATCTCAAAAAAGAAAAGAAAAAAAAAAAAACAGCTAAACTAAGAAAGAAGCAAGCATGAGATCTAGGAAACAGAGGGAAGTGGTGAGAGGAATCCCCTAGATGTGCAGCAGGCCTGCGTTGGGGCACCACTGATTCCAGACTCCCCACCCTCGCCTCCTTAAAGGGCCCAGGATATCAGGAGGGACTGGCCGTAGTCTTAGCTAAAATTATTGTCATTGACAACAGTTCTTCTGTCTATAAAGTTTGAGTATTTCTGCCTTCTCTCAGTATCAGTCTATATCATCCCCTAAGCAGTAGATCTATGCTTTCTTTGTTCTTCTTGCCCTAAGAATAAATCTAAAGACCTTTTTTATTGTCCTTAGAATTTCTGGCAGATTACAGCACAGTCCTCCTGACAGTATTTTTCAGGATTGTGTCATTCTTCAGGATCCATCTCTGATTCTACTTCCCTTCATCTATATTTTGTCCATCCTCTCAAAACATTAGCTCAACAGGGCAGGCGCAGTGGCTCACACCTGTAATCCCTGCACTTTGGGAGGCCAAGGTGGGCAGATCACCTGAGATCAGGAGTTCAAGACCAGCCTGGCCAATATGGGGAAACCCCATCTTTACTAAAAATACAAAACTTAGCTGGGCGTGATGGCAGGTGCCTGTAATCACAGCTACTCGGGAGGCTGAGGGAGGAGAATCGCTTGAACCAGGGAGGTGGAGGTTGCAGTGAGCCAAGGTGTGCCACTGCACTCCAGCCTGGGCGACAGAGCAAGACTGTCTCAAAAAAAAAGAAAAAAAAATTTAGCTCAACAGGGAGCTCAGGCGGGCACACTGGTTTCCATTACTACTTCCCTCTTTTCATCTTCGTCATGATTATTCATGATTGTATAATCAGGATTTCTTTTTAAAGAAGCTCCCTACTTGATATTAGCTGACAGAACAAAAGGTTCTTGATTAAATGATAGCTCTTCCCTGCTCACTGAAAGTCAAAAGCTAGCAAAATACTTTCATCAAAAAATGGATTTTGATATCCATTGTTATGAAAATAGTGAAAAACTTCCAAGAGTAAATGACTAGTTTTGTGGACAGATGCTTTTAGAGGTCAAGAACCATTGATTGAGAGAGCTGTTTCTGAACAAAGAACTGGAAAAGCCAGGCCCTACCAATACACGATGTAAACGTAAACGAACCACATTGCAGGCACCTACTTTCACGGAACTCTCCCCTCCTTTGCCTGAACATTTCAACAGCCTCTTTTTTTTTTTTTTTCTGTATTTTTAGTAGAGACGAGGTTTCACCATGTTAGCCAGTACGGTCTTGATTTCCTGACCTCATGATCTGCCCGCCTTGGCCTCCCAAAGTGCTGGCATTACAGATGTGAGCCACTGCGCCAAGCCAAGTATGAAATCTTGTCATTTGCAGCAACATGGATGGATGGGAGGTCATTATACTAAGTGAAATAAACCAGGTACAGGAAGACAAATACCACATGTTCTCACTCACATGCAGGAGCTAAAAAAGAGGTAGAGAGTAGAATGTTGGTTATCAGAGGCTGGAAAGGGAAAGGAGAGGGAAAGATGAGTTGAAGTTGGTTAATGGGTATAAAAATACAGTTAGAGGCTGGGCGCAGTGGCTCATGCCTGTAATCCCAGCACTTTGGGAGGCCGAGGTGGGCGGATCACGAGGTCAGGAGATCGAGACCGTCCTGGCAAACACAGTGAAACCCCGTCTCTACCAAAATTACAAAAAAATTAGCCAGGCGTGGTGGCGGGCACCTGTAGTCCCAGCTTCTAGGGAGGCTGAGGCAGGAGAATGGCGTGAACCCGGGAGGCAGTGGAGCTTGCAGTGAGCGGAGATCGCGCCACTGCACTCTAGCCTGGGCGACAGAGCGAGACTCTGTCTCAAAAAAAAAAAAAAAAAAATACAGTTAGAAGGAATAAGTTCTAGTATTCAAGAGTACAGAAGAGAAATCAGTTAATAATTTATATGTCTCAAAATAGTTACAAGACAGGAACTGTCATGTTCTCAGCACAAAGAAAAATGTTTGAGGTGATGAATATCCCAATTACCCTGATTTGATTATTGCACATTACATACATGCATCAAAATATCACATGTAGGCCAGGCGCAGTGGCTCACACCTGTAATCCCAGCACTTTGAGAGGCTGAGGTGGGCGGATCACTTGAGGTCAGGAGTTTGAGACCAGCCTGGCCAACATGGTGAAACCTCGTCTCTACTAAAAATACAAAAAAGATTAGCTGGGCGTGGTGGCACATGCTGTAATCCCAGTTACTCGGGAGGCTGAGGCAGGAGAATTGCTTGCATCCAGGAGGCAGAGGTTGCAGTGAGCCAAGATCGTGCCATTGTACTCCAGCCTGGCCAACAGAGTGAATAAGACTCCGTCTCAAAAAATATATATCACATGTACCCCAAAAATATGTATAACTGTTATATGTCTATAATTTTTTTTAAAACCAACTCCATTCATGGTCACAATCATTGGCTCCTAAGAGGTTGTTTGGAACAAGGCTGCTGATGAAAATCATCTAACTATCAAACCCACATTAACTTTTTTTTTTTTTTTTTTTGAGACAGAATCTCAATCTGTCACCCAGGACAGAGTGCAGTGGTGCAGTCTCAGCTCACTGCAACCTCCACCTCCCATAGTGTGAACTCAGCTCACTGCAACCTCCACCTCCCAGGTTCAAGCTATTCTCCTCCCTTGGGCTCCCAACTAGCTGGGACTACAGGCGCAGACTGCCACACCTGGCTAATTTTTATATTGTTTTGTAGAGATGGGTTTTTGTTTTTGTTTTTGTTTTGAGATGGAGTTTTGCTCTTGTTGCCCAGGCTGGAGTGCAATGGTGCGATCTCGGCTCACTGCAACCTTTGCCTCCTAGGTTCGAGCAATTCTTCTGCCTCTGCCTCCCAGGTATCTGGGATTACAGGCATCCACCGCCACACCTGGCTAATTTTTTGTATTTCAGTAGAGACAGGGTTTCACCATGTTGGCCAGACTGGCCTCGAACTCCTGACCTTAGGTGACCCATCCTCCTCATCCTCCCAACGTACAGTAATCCCTGAAATCTGGGATTACAGGCGTGAGCCACCATGCCCAGCCGAGATAGGGTTTTGCCATGTCGCCCAGGCTCATCTCGAACTCCTGGACTCAAGCAATCCATCTGCTTCAGCCTTCCAAAATGCTGGGATTATGGCGTGAACCAATGCACCCGGCCTCTACAAAACATTTTTCTTAAAATTAGCTGGAGGCTGGGCGCGGTGGCTCAAGCCTGTAATCCCAGCACTTTGGGAGGCCGAGACGGGCGGAACACGAGGTCAGGAGATCGAGACCATCCTGGCTAACACGGTGAAACCCCGTCTCTACTAAAAAATACATAAAACTAGCCGGGCGTGGTGGCAGCGCCTGTAGTCCCAGCTACTCGGGAGGCAGGAGAATAGCGGGAACCCGGGAGGCGGAGCTTGCAGTGAGCTGAGATCCGGCCACTGCACTCCAGCCTGGGCGACAGAGAGAGACTCCGTCTCAAAAAAAATAAATAAATAAAATTAGCTGGACATGGTAGTGTGTGGCTGTAGTCCCAGCTACTCGAGAAGCAGAGGTAGGAGGCTCGCTTAAGCCCAGCAGTTTGAGGATACAGTGAGTCATGATCATGCCACTGAACTCCAGCCTGGGCAACAGAACTGAGACCCTGTCTCAAAAAAAAAAATTCAACTCCCACTTCTTCTTTTTTTTTTTTTTTTTTTCTGAGACTGAGTCTCGCTCTGCTGCCCAGGCTGGAGTATATTGGCACCATCTTGGCCCACCGCAACCTCTATCTCCTGGGTTCAAGCGATTCTTGTGCCTCAGCCTCCTGAGTAGGTGGGATTACAGGCATGTGCCACCACACCTGGCTAATTTTTTTGTATTTTCTTTTTTTTTTTTTTTTTTTTTTTTGTTGAGACAGAGTCTCCCTGTGTCGCCCAGACTGGAGTGCAGTGGCCGGATCTCAGCTCACTGCAAGCTCCGCCTCCCAGGTTCACGCCATTCTCCTGCCTCAGCCTCCCGAGTAGCTGGGACTACAGGCATCCGCCACCTCGCCCGGCTAGTTTTTTGTATTTTTTAGTAGAGACGGGGTTTCACCGTGTTAGCCAGGATGGTCTCGATCTCCTGACCTTGTGATCCGCCCGTCTCGGCCTCCCAAAGTGCAGGGATTACAGGCTTGAGCCACCGCGCCCGGCCATTGTATTTTCAGTAGAGATGGAGTTTTAGCATGTTGACCAGGCTGGTCTCAAACTCCTGACCTCAGGTCATCTGCCCACCTCGGCCTCCCAAAGTGCTGGGATTACAAGCGTGAGCCACTGCACCTGGCCCCCTACTTCTTTTATGTATTTTGGGGCAGGGGCCTTACCATGTTGCCCAGGCTAGGCTCAAACTCCTGGGCTTAAGCAATGCACTCCCCTTGGCCTCCAAAGTGTTGGGATTACAGGCGTGAGCCACCACTCCCGGCCTTGAGTGCTTATTATGTACTATATTTCCCCGTATTTTATCTAAATTTAGTCTCTAGAATAATCATAGGAAGTAGACATTATTATTCCCATTTGATGAGAAACTCTCACAAGTCATGTGAGTGGCAGAGCCTGAATGTGAGCCCAGGCTTCTTCATACGGAGTGTGGAAGTCTGTGACTTACAGGGAACTCGTGTCATTGATGCATTTAGCTTACTTTCCTAAGGGGCTTTCAAGGGGGACATTTCCCCTGGATTCAATTTTCCCCTTAGCCACTAACTTTCAAAGCTAACCAGAATTTCAGACCCTTCAGTTCAGCTCTCCTGCAGTTGGTTGAGTCATTAGGGGAAGTCTGAATGGGGCCTGGAATAATAACAACTAAGTTCTAATTTTTGCTGCAGGCCCTCTAGCCCAGTCCAAGAGCACCTGGCCACCTGGAGAAGCACTGCTGGACTGGGGGAATTAGGCCATACAGCATCTACAGAGAAGCCCAGCTCCTTACTGGGACCCTGGTCCACTTCCCAAGTTGACCTTCCTGCAAGAAGAGAACATATCACGTATTTTAATACATTTGACAGTCACAGGGGAAGTCTAAGGAAGCCAGGGCCTGCCTGCTTGTGGCCTGTCCAAGTTCATCCTCTGCCACCCTATCTCTGTTATGTTTGGTTTGGAAGTCCAGAAGATTGTGTTTATGTTCCCAGCAGGGCACCCGTTCACTGGTACCAAGAAAAAGCCCAAGTGTTTCCCTGGCATCAGGTGGTGTCTGGATCCACCACTCCACACTGTCTCTGGAAACAGCCCTTCCACGTCTCTGCATTCCCTGTTACTGTGTTGCTGGCCTTCGGACGGAGCCAAGGTGCATGGCAACACCTCTATGAGGGTCTGTAGCCATTTATATTGCTTAGGCTACTGGTAAGTGGACTAAGGTTTAAAATTACTATCCTAAACATTTCTAGCTAATGTTAACCAGCCATCCAACCAACCGGTGGTGGGAGTCACAGAATGCTAAAACAATGTCACTCTCTTTACTGTTTATTCCCTGCCTACCCATCCACTGAGTTGACATCTACTGAGAGCCCACTACAGGCCCAGGCAATGTCCAAGAGAGTCCCACGTCCCTGCCTGGAGTGCATGTGACAATCATCATCATACAGGGCTATAGCACATATATGACAAAGTGCTGTGGGAGAAAAGAGAAAGACAATCCAATCCTTTGGGCTCCCAGAAGAGGTGGCTTGTGAGCTGCGCCTTGAGCATCCACTTACGGAGGACAGCATGAGCAAAAGTGGGGAGGAATGTGGGCGGGAGGGGCGTGCAGAAGTGGGCAGTGGAGTTTGGAGTGACTGAACCCTAGGAGGGTGGTGGTGGCAAGAGATGAGGGGGGAGTGTTGGAGGGGCCTGGGCAGGCTGTGCTGAGGAGTTTGGACTTGACACTAAGGCACAGAGAACCACGGAAGGGGCTGAGCATTAGAGGAACAGAGTCACACTCAGTCCCTTAGAACGTCACTCTGGCCTCTGGTTAGACATAGTGGGTGGAACATTTGCATTCATCTCTGTTCCTTCTGGAGCCCTGCTAATGTGTGTATCTCATGCAGCCACAGGACAAAAGAATGGAAGAGGAGAAAGCAGCAGGAGAGAGAAGTGAACCAAATTTTGAATGCTGGGAGCAGATGGACAGGTGGTGACTGACCTTCCCTCAAGCATCTCTGGAGCCACAGCCCCTAGCCGGCCATGTCCAGCATGTGGTAATTTATTGAACAAGAATGGGAGGTACTAAAATACTGACTAGAAGCTTTGTGATTTGTGAGTAAGGGTACAGGAATTTCATTAGAGCCCGTCCCACTATGTCAGAGTCTATACGTCTTTGAAGCTGGTCAATTTCTTTAGAGAGGAACTTCACAGATGAGGAAATTGAGGCACATGGAAGTCAAGTTGTCTCTCCAAAGTCATACAGAGTGGTAGCAGAGCAGGGATTTAAACTCTTAGCCAGTAAAGAATGAAAAGATAGGATTACTAATCAAAGAAATACAAATTAAAATCAGGGCTGGGCATGGTGGCTCACACCTATAATCCCAGCAGTTTGGGAGGCCCAGGCGGTCAAATCACCTGAGGTAGGGACTTTGAGACCAGCCTGACCAACATGGAGAAACCCTGTCTCTACTAAAAGTACAAAATTAGCCGGGCATGGTGGTGCATGCCTGTCATCCCAGCTACTTGGGATGCTGAGGCAGGAGAATAGCTTGAACCCAGGAGGTGGAGGTTGTGGGGAGCCGAGATTGTACCATTGCTCTCCAGCTTGGGCAACAAGAGTGAAACTCTGTCTCAAAAAAAAAAAAAAAAAAAAAAAAAAAAAAACAGATTGAAAATTTTGTTTTTTTGAGACAGGGTCTCACTCTGTTGCCCAGGCTGGATTGCAGTGACCCAATCATAGCTGATAGAACCAAGCCCTGAGAGAATTCACTGTGAGCCTGACCCTCCTAACACTGCTATCCTTCCTCAAAAAGCACTGGGAGATTCACCAGCTGTTCGTTTTTAAAGAGGAAATTTTTACATAATAAAAATGTTTTTGAATATTTATAGTTCTTTTTTTTTTTTTTTTTTTGAGACAGAGTCTTGCTCTTTTACCCAGGCTTGAGTGCCATGGCACAATCTTAGCTCACTGCAACCTCTGCCTCCCTGGCTCAAGCTATCCTCCCCGCTCAGCCTCCCAAGTAGCTGGGACCACAGGCCCATGCCACCACTGCCTGGCTAATTTTTGTATTTTTTGTAAAGATGGGATTTCCCTATATCACCCAGGGTGGTCTTGAACTCCTGAACTCAAGTGATCCACCCACCTTGGCCTCCCAAAGTGCTGGGATTACAGATGTGAGTCACCATGCCCAGCCTACATTATAATTTTATTTTTGGAATTTTAAAATAGAATTTAGAAGAGATACCACTAATGACAGGAAGCCCAGGGTCCCTGTGAGAACGGAGGGACATCAGGGAAGCCGCTGCTGGGCAGTAGCACTAACGGGCTAACACTCGGGAAACAGAAGCAAAAACGAAGTGTCCACATTCTCACTCAGTAAGAACGTCAGGGCCGGGCGCGGTGGCTCACGCCTGTAATCCCAGCACTTTGGGAGGCCGAGACGGGCGGATCACGAGGTCAGGAGATTGAGACCATCCTGGCTAACCCGGTGAAACCCCGTCTCTACTAAAAAAATACAAAAAAACTAGCCGGGCGAGGTGGCGGGCGCCTGTAGTCCCAGCTACTCGGGAGGCTGAGGCAGGAGAATGGCATGAACCCGGGAGGCGGAGCTTGCAGTGAGCTGAGATCCGGCCACTGCACTCCAGTCTGGGTGACAGAGCGAGACTCCGTCTCAAAAAAAAAAAAAAAAAGAACGTCAGCCACTGGCCTTTGTAAAGCAGAGCATTCTTCACCAGCCCTAAACACACGTGTCACATTTAATTAGCTTAGCTGTTTTAATGTGGGTAACAAGATTGAATGTTGACTGAAATCCAATGTTAGGGAGGTCTTCTCCTGCATTTTTTTTTTTTTTTTTGAGAAGGAGTTCTGCTTTTATTGCCCAGGCTGGAGTACAATGGTGTGATCTCGGCTCACCGCAACCTCTGCCTCGCGGATTCAAGTGATTCTCCTGCCTCAGCCTCCCGAGTAGCTGGGATTACAGGCAGGCGCCACCACACCCGGCTAATTTTCTATTTTTAGTAGAGACGGGATTTCTCCATGTTGGTCAGACTGTTCTCGAACTCTGGACCTCCAGTGATCCGCCTGCCTCAGCCTCCCAAAGTGTTGGGATTACAAGCTTGAGCCACCGTGCCCAGCCTCTCCTGCATTTTTAAGTGAAATACAAAATTGTTGAAAAGGTTTTCATATAAGCAGCATGCTGTACACTATGGAGTGCTGCTTGGAATACTACATTATGAAGTAGCTTAGAAATTTTTTTAGTTGGCTATTATACATCCATTAGCCACTCAAAGTATTAACTTAGCATTATGATTTGCTACAACATATTAATTGGGGCTAGGACACATCAGTTTATAAAACATTTGCATAATGCTTGCCTGCTCTAACTTTGGAGAAGGTACAGGGTGTTTGCAATATGTGGAGGTTTCAGCTCATTCTTGCTCAGTTCTACTTAATAATCCACTTCTACTCTAGCTGTTCTGTCCTCTAGTGAAATAATTTAGAACTACATTAAGACAGAAACGGAACCTGGTCTAACTGTCCCATCCCTACTCCTCATTTTACAGACAACAAAACTGAGGCTTGGCCAGGTGCAGCAGCTCAAGGACTGTATCACTTGAACCCAAGAGGCGGAGGTTGCAGTGAGCCGAGATCGTGCCATTGCACTCCAGCCTGGGCGACAGAGCACTTTGGGAGGCCAAGGTGGGCAGATCATGAGGTCAGGAGATTGAAACCATCCTGGCTAACATGGTGAAACCCCATCTCTGGTAAAAATACAAAAAGTAGCCAGGTGTGGTGGCGCATGCCTGTAATCCCAGCTACTCTGGAGGCTGAGGCAGGAGAATCGCTTGAACCAGGGAGTCGGAGGTTGTGGTGAACTGAGATCACACCACTGCACTTTTTTTGTCTCAAAAAAAGAAAAGAAAAAAAAAGGATGGGGGCAGTGACTCACGTCTGTATTCCCAGCACTTTGGGAGGCCAAAGCAGGTGGATCACAAGGTCAGGAGTTCAAGACCAGCCTGGCCAAATGGTGAAACCCTGTCTCTACTAAAAATACAAAAATTAGCCAGGCGTGGTGGCAGACGCCTCTAGTACCAGCTACTTGGGAGGCTGAGGCAGGAGAATCATTTGAACCTGGGAGGCGGAGCTTGCAGTGAGCTGAGATTGGGCCACTGCACTCCAGCCTGGGAGACAGAATGAGACCCTGTCTCAAAAAAAAAAAAAAAAAAAAATTCCCCAAGGCTTAAAGGGAAGAGACTTGCCCCTAGGTCAGTAAAAGAGGAGCAAAGAAGCCAGCATTCCCTCTCCCTGGAGGTGGCAGGGAAAAAAGGCATTTGGAAGGGATAATGTTGATCTGGAAGAGGAACAGCATGAGAGCAGAGGTGTGAACTAGCAGGGTGCTGGGCAGAGGTGTGAACTAGCAGGGTGCTGGGTAGAGGTGTGAACTAGCAGGGTGCTGGGGTGGGAGGGCCTTTTATTGCAGGGTTTGGAGATGAGGGCAGAAGCTGACAGGACCAGGTAATAGAGGACTACAAGACCAGGTTATAGAGGACCCGTAGGTCCAGCCCAAGTCTATAAGGAAGTCTGCACTGAAACTCACAACCCATATGTGACAAGGTAGCCTGATCAGGGTACCTACTACCTGGTCCGTTGGCCACATAGGCAATTCCTGACAGCCAGGTGACCCCTGGCTCAGTGTAGACAAAGGAACGATCAGCTCCCCTACCAGGCAGGAACATCACATCTGCTCATTCCTCCTCTAGTTTCAGCTTTAACCCACCCCACCTCGAGAGGTAGCTGCGGATAAACAAGCCCTCTGGGCACTGGATGGACCAGCTAGGCCTGTTCTTCCACTGGCTGAACCAGAGGTTGCCCTTGGGTGGGACTCACCAAGGCCTCTGCTCTTGCACTGGCCAAGACCAGAACAGGAGCAGCAGTGGAGGGCAGAGCCAGCCTGCACCCACCCCGGTTTGTGCCCACCACCCTATAGTTGCAAGGGAGATCCTGGGAGGTTTTAGGGAGGAGCAGGGAGGGCTGTCCACAATCCCCGGCTCTCTCTCTACCTTAAGACTGCTTGCTTCAAATTTTGCTTTTTTTTTTTAACCCTTCATTCTTCCTTTTTTTTTAAAAAAAAAAAAATTGCTTTTGTTGGGCGCGGTGGCTCATACCTGTAATCCCAGCACTTTGGGAGGCCGAGGCGGGCAGATTACCTGAGGTCAGGAGTTCAAGACCAGCCTGGCCAACATGGAGAAACCTGTCTCTACTAAAAATACAAAATTAGCAGAGCGTGGTGGTGGGCGCCTGTAATCCCAGCTATTCAGGAGGCTGAGGCAGAGAATCACTTGAACCCAGGAGGCAGAGGTTGCAGTGAGCCGAGATCGCACCACTGTACTCCAGCCTGGGCGACAGAGCCAGACCGTCTCAAAAAAAAAAAAAATTGCTTTCTTCTCTTACACAGACAGTTTCATTCCTACTCCATGAAAGGCTAGAAGCTTTGCCATGAATTTTTCAGGGTGAAACACTAATGATGGTGGTCTAGACTGGAAGTCACATAATTCTCACTTTCCTGATTCTCCCATTCACAGGGAATAAAGAAAAAATGAAATTCCTAAACTTCAAAGTCATTTCCAACTGGAGGCCCCATATACAACCAATTAGCTGGCCAGTAGGTGGCGCCAAAGGTTAATCACAGCCTTTGGGCGAAGGGTTCCCATTTGGTCCCGCTGGAAAGCAATTCAGTTATCCATTCAGCACACATAGATGGCTGCGTGCCATGTGCTGGGTCTTGAGATGAGAAAGACAGAGTCTAATTTCAATTCACAGCAGGGCTAAGAGCTGTGGAGGAGGCACCCAGAGTGAATTTGGCCAGAGGAGGTGATTTCCAAGCCAAGCTCGGCAGACACGTGTTTGCCTGGAGAAGGGCATCGCAAGAGATTCCAGGTGCATTTGGAGAACAACCCAGCATGGAGAGACGATCGGGGGCAGAACGTAGACGCTTGGGCTGCTGCAGTAATCTGGGTGAATGAAAGGGAGTGCTGTAACGTTGAATCTGAGGGGCCCTGAGTACACTTAACAGGATCTGCTGCCCCTGGAGGCTGGAGGG